GCACAGAGAGAAGACTATGTGAAGACACAGGAAGACAGCGATCTACAAGCCGAACAGAAAGGCTTCAAAAAAAACTAGCACTGCTGACACCTTCATCTTGGATTTTTAGCATCCAGAACTATGAGAAAATAAATTTCTGTTGTTTAAGTCGTTGTGGTACTTTGTTACGGCAGCCCTAGCAACCTAATACAGTTAATGTGGCATGATTACAGTAAAGATTTTTTCTTCTTCCAATTTCTTCTTAAAATATTTTAGAGCTGGTTTAACAACAGTGGTTCTAGCATCATGAATTCCCTCTACTGACACTAATTTTCTCTCCCCTTACTCTATAGATGGTTGTTTTTAACATGGCCTCACAAAGGAAAGGGAGTGAGGATGGAAATTTTCAGCTTCATCATGCTGGGGAAAAAAAATGCCAATACCATGGTTTTTACTCCATGGTAAACCACTCTAAAGGAGTGGATAACCATAAATTCCAGAAAGCCCACTGCCCTGAGCATCAGAACAGATGTTCCTCCAATGAGAGATAAGAGTTAACCAGCTCATCTTCTGGAGCACATCGGTCCACCAGGGAGGCTCTGGCATGTCCCTAATGCTGCAGTGCCATTTAAACACCACATCGAGTTAGCTAAGACACCTCAAGATTCTAGCATTCTAACCGAAGAAAAGAGAGGATATTTTAGGACATGGAAAAAGATTCTGATCAGAGCCTCCTGCGGGTGGGAAGAGAGGTGGGAGAGCAAGGAATGCTTCCCTAGTTTTCAGCTCTGCCAGGAACTCTCCATATCCCAGGGTTCAGGGTCCATTAGTATGGTACAGGCCAGACGAGGAAAGGCAGGAAGAGGTCACCAATATCCTAGACACAGAGGAGTATAACCAGGCAGATCCAGGAGGAAGCTTGACAGGGGCGGCTCAGTAACATTCTGAAGACAGATGAGAAGGAGGAGAGCAGAGCAAGACTAGTAGGCAGAAAGAAATTGGAGAGAGGGAGACTGGAAGCCTACCATACATGGAGATTCCACTGTAGACAGGGCTCTCTTCTCTATTTCTCTCCTCTCACCTTTCTCCCAGAGGGAGAGGGCTGAGGGCTGTGTGAGACGTGATCTCGAGGAACACAGACGATGTCCTCTGGGTGGCTCACAATCCTGGGGGTGGGCTTTAGGGCTGTGGTTCCAGTCTTAAGGGACAGCCCAGCAGGAAAAGGTCAAAACTCCGATATGGATCAGAGAATTGATACCAAGGAGTCTTGGGTTTGACTATCTGAACATGGCAGGAGTCTGGTCACCAGACCTGTGATATAAGAGTAGATCGGGTACTTACAGCAAGTCTGACTTGATGCTGATCACCTGAGCAATCTCACTAACACTGTTTCTTTTTTTTTTTTTTTTAAAGATTTTATTTATTTATTTGACAGAGAGAGACACAGCGAGAGAGAGAACACAGCAGGGGGAGTGGGAGAGGGAGAAGCAGGCTTCCCGCCGAGCAGGGAGCCCGATGCGGGGCTCGAACCCAGGACCCCGGGATCATGACCTGAGCTGAAGGCAGACGCTTAACGACTGAGCCACCCAGGCGCCCCAACACTGTTTCTTATTGATCTGGCCTACCTAGTGTGTATTAATTAACAGCAGGTGCTCAAAAACTGTTTCCTGAATGAAAGAGTGAATTAATTAAAGGAAAAATAAAATTTACTTAGTAGCAATAGGCTATGTTTCACAGCCTGGGATGTGAGTGGAGTAAGGAAACACCACTGTGGCATGTAGATAGACAAAGACAGGGAAAGTTATGTCGTTAATGTGCCCCAAGTGCCATAAAAGCATGTCAAGGCTGCCTGAGTTACCAATGTCTGAGCTGAGATGGCAGGTCTAGCTCAGAAAACTGAGCTATCCTCAGCCCAACCCTATCTGGACCAAGTCCCACTCAGTCCTCTGCCTTCTCTCTGGAAAAAAAGGAGAAAGAAACCAGAAACAAGTAAATGAGAAAGAGGTTTTTCAACACTCATCTCCCCACTTAAGTCCCCACCTTCATTATCCTGGTGGGTAGTCAGAAATTCCTTTACTCTTAAGAACCTCAAGAATACTTCCCTAGGAATGTTAAGGGCTTGTTGCCAATTGTTTTAAAGTAGTGGAATGTAGTAAGCAGCCATATATTATATGACTAAATAGTAGCAATGATCCCTAGCATAATGAAGTCTCAAGACCCCAAATGAGAATAAGAGGAATCCACATATATCTGATGGAATCAGCCACCTACAAAAGCCTTCTTTAAGAAATTATTTCAGGGTCCCCAAGACTACCCACACATACATAGTTGTACTCATAGCTAAATTACAGTAAATTGTATTACAGTGAATTTATCAGCAAGAGAAAAAGACAGGTGGACTCTGGAGAAACCTGTGCCTGGGCTTCCTTGTGTTCTCTCCCTCCTGTGAAGGTATACACCCAGCATGCTCCCCTCTACAGCAGCAGACAATGTAGTAACATGTATGCTATGTTTGTACCTAGGGAAGTCCATTAGAGACATAGCATCCAAGGTTTTTATTGATAGACAAAGGCACTGTCTGCTTAGCAGCCATCAAAATTCCAGATTCCCAGGAGGAAAGCAGGTAATCATATTGTTTGTTCAGAGTCTAGGCACAATGAACCACCCTTATCAATTAGAAAATGGAACAGTTCAAGTGTCAAGTTCCCAGATGTAAGCCAAGGACCAACCTTGCAGGCAATCCCTTCTGAAGATTGCAGACTCAGGCTGGCTCTGTTAACTCTTTTCTAAAGTGATTTGTAAATGTTGCCAAAGAAACTGAAATATCTCCCAAACTAAGAGATAGTATTGGGAAGCTGCCAACCTAAAAGCTGTATTAATTAGTTGTAAAACAGATCCTAATTTTGACAACTGAAGCAGTTACTATAAGATACAAAGCTAACAATGTTGCAATTACAGAATGTTCTTGTGATTATGGAAGAAGACTGAAGAAGGCCAGTTGAGCTTAAGGTGCATTTCTCAGAGTTACTGAGTGGGAAAGGGTGCCCTGCTAGAGCTGCAGGACTGTCTTCACCCAATTCCCTACAATCTCTTCTCTCTTCTCTGAGTCCAGCAAGTAAACTTCTGATATGCTTTTTAGTCCTCCTACTAAGAATAGAATGTGCTGACTAGCTGGCATGAATTTGATTTGATAAGCCAGCACTATGGTCCATTAGTCAGGCTCATTCAATGATAACAGTTCTCAATCATTAGGTACTCATGTGTCATTTTGTTGATCTTCATAATACTCTTAACAAGTACTGTCCTTGTATTTTGCAGGAGAAAGCAAAGGTTCAGACTGGAGAACTGACCTACCCAGAGTCACACTAATGTAAGCAAATGATACAGGATTTAAGTTCAGGTATTCCTATCTCTAGAACTCATATACTTTCCCTTCTTTTGAATTCCTCCTTCAATTAGAAGTCAAGTTGGCATCAATCTCCCAGGACCTGCTCATCCTGCAGGTAAGTGAGAAATCAGACTTAAGAAACCACAAAGCCAAGGACACTATGCCAGAGAGTCTAACACAGCATTTCAGCCTCACTCCTCACCAGAGCCGCAAAAATTCTCTTTTTTAAAAAGTATTTTATTTATTTATTTGATAGAGAGAGCGAACACAGGTGGGGTAGCAACAGAGGGAGAAGGAGAAGGAGGCTCCCCACCGAGCAGGGAGCCCTACGCGGGGCTCGATCCTAGGACTCTGGGATCACGACCGGAACCGAAGGCAGACGCTTAACCATCTGAGCCACCCAGGCGCCCCCATAAAACTACTCTCAACTGCAGCAGACAGGTCTCCAGTCTCCACCACTTTTCTCCTACTCTTAGACAACAGATCTCTTTCCACCCACCAGAAACTGTATGAAAAAAGAATCTCATCCTTGGGGCGCCTGGGTGGCACAGTCCATCGAGCAGCCGGCTCTTGGTTTCAGCTCCAGGCCTGATCTCAGGGTCGTGAAATCCAGCCCAGCACCGGAGTCCGCTTAAGACTCTCTCCTTCTGGGCGCCTGGGTGGCTCAGTTGGTTACACGACTGCCTTCAGCTCAGGTCATGATCCTGGAGTCCCGGGATCGAGTCCCACATCGGGCTCCCCGCTCAGCGGGGGGTCTGCTTCTCCCTCTGATCCCCTTCCCTCTCGTGCTCTCTGTCATTCTCTCTCTCTCAAATAAATAAATAAAATCTTAAAAAAAAAAAAAAAAAGACTCCTTCTTCCCCTGACCCTCTCCACCGTGCACACGCACGTGCGCGCGCGCTCTCTCAAATAAATAAATCTAAGAAAGAAAGGAAAAGAAAAGAATATCACCCCTTCTGTGCTAACATACTATAATGATACTATAATTCTCTGCCCACTGTCATTCATTCCCCATTCCCTGCCACTGTCCCTTCTTCAAAACACAATCTTTTACCCAGTCTAACGCCCCCTCTAGATTCACAGAAAAACAACGCGCGGATTTGCACTTCAAAAAGCACTTTCAGATGTACTATTTCATCTGCCCTTCACAACAATGTGAAGCGGCCAAAGTAGGTAAGCACCCCCATTTAACGAGAACAGCATGTCTCCAAGGTCACGGAATAAAAAGCAGAGGAAGTCGGGAGCAGAGCCCCAGGTTTTGACTCTGGTCCTCCGCTCTTCCCGCTGCTTCTCCCTGCCTGCCGCCCCCGCCCTTGCGATGTCAACAAGGTACCCCTCGGCTCAAACCCAGGCCTGTAGCTCACGTCCCTCCCACGCCACCCACCCGCAAAATCCCCACCTGCCCTGTCCACTCCTTGACCGCACCACCCCCAAGACCCTCCTCTCTTCACCAGCGCCCTCCGCCCATGGGCCTCCTCACCCCGCCAGCTCCCGCCGCTCATGTACCCCCTCCTGTCACAGACAGCTCGAGAGCCGCGCTCGGCCTCCCACAGACCCTCGCCGCCCCGCCTACCCGCTTCGCCACCCCATACCCCTTCTCCTGTCAGCCCGCGGCCCGAGAGGCCAAGGCTACCTTCTCCAAAGATGCCGGTCTCTGCACGGCCAGGGAGCGGGCCAATGACAAAACCGTGTTGAAATAGAAGCCCCGCGAGGCGCTGGAGCCGGAGCCGGAGCCGGAGCCGCCGCCGCCGCTGCTGCCGCCGCTGCCTGCACGGGCCGCGGCCGCCGCCATCATCGCGCGCGCGGCGGCGCTGCCCGCGGGCTTCCCGCACCCGGCCTGCGAGCGCCGGAGCTCACGGCGCAGGCGCGGCGGCATCCGGCTTCCCCACCACGTGACCTCTGCTGTCGACACTGGGTGGGGCGTGGCCGCGGGGTGATTCCACTGCTGGAGGGGAGAGAGAAGCCGAGCGGTAGGCTGCGGTCGCGCGCACCGGGCGTGGCGCCCCCCAAGCCGTGGGATAAGATGGTCAGCTCCGGAGGCGGGGCCTCCCGCGCGAGACAGGCGGAAGGAGTTCGCTCCGCGACGGGCGGGTGGAGGGGAGTAGCGCGGCGCTGGAGTGCGGGCCGCGGAGCTGTGGGGCTGCAGAGCGGTGGGCGCTTCCCGAGGGCCTCGGGAGGTCGGCCTGGATCCCTGCGGGCCCGGAAAGGCCGTTCCTCGCCTTGGCCACGTTCCTCCTTCTCCTGTCCAGACCCAGACGAGCGCCGGCACCATGTCGGCCTACCCCAAAAGCTACAACCCATTCGACGACGATGCGGAAGATGAGGGTGCCCGGCCGGCCGTGTGGAAGGACGACCGCGACCTCCCCGATGGACCCGGAGCGCCCGTGGACAGGCAGCAGTACCTGCGGCAGGAGGTGATGCGCAGGGCCCAGGCCGCGGCCGCCAGCACGGACAGGTCCCTGTCCCTCGTATACGAGTCCGAGAGGATCGGCGTCGCCTCTGCCGAGGTGAGTCTGGAGCAGGGCAGGACGGCCCAACTAGGCTGAATTGTCACACGAGGTCCAGAAACTTTAGCTATACAAAGAGGTGTGTGTCTTGAGTACTTGAAAGAGGCAGTTTACCCCTGTAATATTCCTTAGCTATTAGTAGAGATCGGGTTAGGGAAATGGAGTGTCTGTTTCTTATAATTACCTGCTCAGAATCCCAGATCTAGAGCTTTAACCATCCCTCCCCGAGTGACCCAGAATGGGTGAGGATTGTACCTGCTGGTGTGTGAAGTACCAGAGCAAATGGGCCTTGAGTTTTTTCCTATCACTGACCACTTCACCTCACCGATAGAGGTGATGAGGTCTGTCTGGGCAGCTGCTGAGTAAGCCATAGCCCAAGTTTGGTCAAGTCTAGGGCCTAACTTTTACTTCCCAAATCCAAATGAAGATGTCCTAGATAGCATATGGTTTGTGACAGTCCATTTCTCCGATTCCCCCTTGTCAGTTCGTCTCTCCACCCATGGGAGATTTCAGGGACCCTATGTGAGGATTGTTCTTTCTTAGGCACCACATTTCTTCCTCAGCCTACTAATGAAATGGTTTTGTTTGGGCTTTTTTTTTTTAAGTTTTAAAAAATGTAATAGTAGATCATTGGTATATCAGCTAACATTAATCTAAAGCATTTGTAGCTTTGAAACTTAGTACTGGAACCTGAAGTGTTGTCTTCCTCCATGGGTCTCTTTGTAACTCTTTTCTCTGGCAGAGTTCATTCTGACCTGATCACTTACGATCTTGGGCAGTTTGAGGTATGTTGATTAATTTCTCAAATAGTTGTCTGGGTCATATCCCCATTGCTGCTTTTCTGGTTATTTTCCTTCCCCACTTCCGTTTCCTTCCCCACTGTTACAGTACAGTATCCCTCATTGGCTCATTTTCCTATCTTTGGCTTCCTTAAGGAAGTTTAGCTGTAATTCTCACATCTTATATCTACTGGATTCCTATCTTTGAGTCTAAATGGCAAATGTTGACTAAGATTTGGGAGGATTGCCTAAGGTCTTAGGGCCCTAGTGAAGGAGTTACTTGAGGGTCCCAGGTCCAAGGAAGCCAAGTAAGAACTATTTGAAGGGACATCTCTGGAAACAGTGAGAACAATTGAAATAGGAAATCAGAATGATACAAAGTAGGATGTCATGGCAGAGGAGAAACTCCAATCTGGCTTTTAAGGCTAAGATTTAGACAGGAGTGAGGAGGAGGAAGAGGAAGAAGGGTAGGAGGAATGTTCATAGGGCCGAGAGGAGCGGTGCAAAGACACTGGACCCACCACAGGGTTCCTGGGCTCCAGTAGGGAAGTGATGCACAGGATATATTCAAAGAAAAGGCCCAGAGGAGGCAGCTTAGGAGCCTTTCATAGGCAGGGGAAAGTCTGTCCTTCAGAGGGAAGGAGACTCAAAAACATATTAGAGGTGAATGGTTTCACGTGGATTGTGGTGACACCCCCCCATGCTGCTCCCAAAGGCCCTTCTCTCTATGTAAGGGGGACGGTGAGAGCAGAGGCAGAGTGGTACCTCAGGCCTGTGAGGCTTGGACTGGGCTAAGTTGGTGTTGTTCTGAGAGGTGCAGTATGATCATGACTGGGCAGGTGACAGGCACTGTCATCGGTATGGTGACACTGAATTTTTCCAGGATTGAGTCCGTTCCCAGTCATCAGAGGCCCTGGGAGGCCGGAATGGTCAGCACCCTCTCCCCACCCCACTCTGTACTCTCCAAACTGCCTTTGAATCAGTCTTTGATTCCAGTCAGAATGGGGATGGGAATGGGGCTGAGGTTGGGGCTAGTGAGCTCTTCCTGCCACTCAGTGTACAGTGTGACTTCCAGCAGACCCAAGTCACCTGCTAACCTCCCTCCTTAGAGACCCAGCGCTGAGCTGTGCGAAAACATGATAGGTTTTTATAGAGGCTTAGGAATGTACAAATATTAGTTTGGGAAGATAGTCAGTTCCAGCTTGGCAGAAGTAGGAAAATTACTTAGGTCATCCTAAGTGAAGGAGAGTCATCCTCCTCCTGTGCAACCTGACAAGGGTTATTTCTCACAAAGAGTATAGCCACAGGTCATGACTGCCACGGGACAGAGTTAGAGCAGAGCAGTTCCTAGTTAACTGGCCTGGTAAGCACAGTCCAGAACCGTGGAGAGACTTGTAGGCCACTCAGCTCTTCTGTTTTGCAAATGTGATTTATTTATTCTTTCTTTTATCTAAGGTTTAGCTTTTGTGAAGCGATATCCAATAACATAGTTCAAAATTTAAAACGTACAGAAGAGTAGGAAGTTTCCTCCCACCCCTCTGCTCCCACGGCAGCCAATTACTGTCAGTTCCTTCAGTGTCCTTGTGAAGATATTCTGTGGATAGAGACGTAGCTATAGTCCTTTCCTTTTTCTTTCTTTCTTTCTTTTTTTAATTTTAACTTAAGTGGATGCATTCTATATATTCTAGTCTGTACATTTTTTAATAGGATTGGAGGTTAGTCCCTAGTAATATATAATGCACTGATCTTTTTGTTATTGTTGTTTTTATGGCTGTGTCGTATTCCACTGAATGGATGACTTGTATTTATGTAGCCAGTCCTCTAATGATAGGCATTTGGGTTGTTTGCACGTTTGGGCAAGCCTGTGGAGACATGGCTGCCCAGAGTTCCTTGTCCCCTCTGGCAGCTGAGCATGCTCCTGTACAGTTTTGTGAAGCCTGGGATCTCATTTCAGGGGAGTCCAGCAATAAATGTTAGACCAGGGCCTGAATGGCTGGCACAGTAACGCCAGTGAGACGGGAGTGGTGTTTGGTAGGCCATCACACAACCACGTAGGCATGGCTGACCACCTGCCCGACTGGCAGACCTTACTGTTTAACCCCTTCAGAGGTCAAGCATGTGGCTGAAGGCCCCCACCTAAATCACACTATTAGCATAAACTATCTGGCCTAGCCTAAGGACTCAGATAAACAAAGATACTCTTATCATGGTATTATAAGGGCCAGGAGCCAGGCAAGGCCTTTCTTTGGAACATAGAGGGTGTGGACAGGCCAGGCCTGCTGAGTTAGTCCTTAGTGAGCCTGGGTCAGCCTGCACTCAGGCAGTAAAGAGCACCAGCATCACTGCCTTTGCCCTTGGTGTTTTTTCATGCAACATAAGACTCCGTTTGTGTTTTTGAATCCACTCCATACTACTACAGTGAGACAAAGCCCCAGTTTGAGCATATTCCATGCTCATGTGTCCCTGCCGGCGCTTACGCATGTGTGTTGCCCTGGAAAGGGAGTGACATGAAGGAGATGAACTTCAGGTTCTAGGTTCAGCTTATTGACTCCAGATTGACCTCCACCTACTTATTATTGGATCCCTGAGGTTTTTTGTTTTTTAAGATTTATTTATTTATTTGAGAGAGAGAATGAGAGAGAGAACACATGAGAGGGGGGAGGGTCAGAGGGAGAAGCAGACTCCCTGCCGAGCAAGGAGCCCGATGCAGGACTCCATCCAGGGACTCCAGGATCATGACCTGAGCCGAAGGCAGTCGCTTAACCAACTGAACCACCCAGGCGCACTGGATCCCTGAGTTTAATTATGAGTTCAATACAGGAACCTTAGCACTGACATTTTCCTTCCGAATCTCAGGGCCTGACCTGGTCAGGGAAGACAACCAGGCCCAACTGACCTTATGAGATGTATCAGCTGTGAATTGGAGTTGGGATCTGGTGGTCACTGCTGCCCTCTCCAATGCCTGCTGGGTCCTGCCTGGCATCCTGCCTGCTCCCTCATCTCATGCTCACGTTCCTCTTCCTCTCTCAGTTCCCCCAGCTGGCCCCGTGGCCCAGGACTGCTGCGCACATGGGCTGCTCCCTCTGCCCTGATCTCTTACCCCACCCCCCAGCCCTTTGCCTACCTAACTTCTCAGCTTTCAGTTTCCCCTTCAATGCTACCCCATCGGGGAGCCTCCCTGACTCCCCCTTAAGCCAGGCAAGGAGCCCCTACTGGCAGAGTGGCCATCGTGTATGTGTAGGATAGCTTTCTTTTCTTCCTCCCCCACTCTGGATTCCCAGCACCACAGGGTTGTCAACAAATGAAAAGTGAAATGAAACTTGACTCACTGAATCCTCCACCAAGACTGTAAGCTCTGGCAGGGCAGAGATCTGGGGCTGGTTAGTTCACCCCTGAACCCCTAGCACCTGGAACAGTGGCTGGCAGAGTAATACTTGGTGGTGGGTATCTTGCACACCTCTGTCCTTCGGTGTGTGTTCTCTATCAGCAGGGAGTCCCTGATATGTTCACATTCTCACAGGGCCCGGGGACATAATCCATCTGGCCAGAAGTCGCCCCATGTAGGACAGAGTATA